AGAATATTAAGTAATGATGAAAATATAATGAGCGAAAAAAGTTAACTTGATCATTAAAAGAGAAAAAATAATTGTAAAATATATTGATATTTTGATATTTATAAATGTTAATCATTTTCATTTTTAAAGGCAGCCTAATTTTTTTTCCATAATGCAGCTACTTTTGGATTTCAATATAGGTCCCGAATCAATGCCCTGATGATTGATGAATTCTCCTTCAAGAACTAGAGCTCCTTATGCTTAGAATATTGCAGATTAGGATATAAGGAGTGTAGTGATGTAATTGGAGGCTAAAAATATGATAGGGATAAATACGACCTACGGAAATATGGCTATGTTATTGGAGTGGAATCTTAATTTATGCAAGAATATCTTTGTCGTTGTTATCATAGGATTTAATTTCTTATCCTGTTTTGACATCCCATAGAAGGATAGAGTCATCATCGCTACCAGAAGCTAATGAATTTCCATCAGGAGAGTAATAGACTGAGTTAATACAATGACTATGACCATCTAATTTGGCTTTTTATTATCCTGTTTTGATGATAAGTCTATCCGTTTATGGGATTTCAAAACAGGATAATAAAAAGCCAAATTAGATGGTCATAGTCATTGTATTAACTCATTCTGTTTCTCTCCTGATGGAAATACATTAGCTTCTGGGAGTTATAATAAGTCTATCCGTCTATGGGATGTCACTACCAGATGCTAATGTTTTTCCATCAGGAGAAAAACAGACTGAGTAGACAGTTTTCCTATGACCATCTAATTTGGCTCTTTTCTTTCTTGTTTTAGTATCCCATAATATTACAGACCCATTACCATCTCCAGATGCTAATACCTTTCCATTAGGAGAGAAACAGACAGACCAAGCACTTCCTCTATGAATTTTTAATTTGGCTTTTTATTATCCCGTTTTTACATCCCAAAGACCAATAGATTTATCAGCACTGCCAGAAGCTAATGTATTTTTATCAGAAGAGAAATAAAACTGATCTTACTTAATCACCATGACCATGTAAATTATTTAATTCAGGAATTTTTAAATCTCTCCATTAACAATTAATTAATATTGCTCCATTCAGATTTATTCCCCCTATGTTGACATTTAAAATTAGGATTCACTAAAATTACAGCTAACAAAATTAGCTCAAACCAAAGAAGTATTTTAAATCTTAATATTTTCAAAATTTTTGTTTCTAAAGTCCACTTTCAATCGTATGTACCTTCATTTTTTATAATATTTGTTTATATTGATAAATATTCATTTCAATGCTTTTTGTTTTTAAAATGTTACTGTTCATTCTAAGTTTGAGTATATGATAATTTCATTTAATGATTTCTTATTTTTATATTAAATTTTCTCAGATTCTCTCTTCTTTTTTTTAATCTCGAGATAATATTAATTAGTGTTTTATTTAAAATGTTAAAAAAAAGTTTTTCATTAATGCCATCTTAAGACAATCCAACAACTTTATAAGATTCAAAAACTTTTTTAAATATTTGATTACTCGAATCCAATATATACAATCGATTAATTAACCTTTTTTTGTCGAGTATTTTTCAGCCTACATTCCTAAAATAATTGGTTTTCCATAGCAAACCATTTTAAATTCTTAAAAGAGCTTAATTTTAGTTATTTTCTTAAACAATTAACCTATGTTTATTTTATCTATTTACATTCTGAAACATCTTCCCAATGCAATGTATAATAAGTAATCACTTGAAATTAAAAATTATAGATGGTGAAGATAATAATTTTTGAGGTTTAGTACATCATCATAGATTTTATAGACCCAAAAAGTTAGTTAGCTTCTTAAAATAAGATTGCCTAAAATAATAGTAAATAATTATTAGAATTGACAATTCAAACTAGCAAAATGAAACCAATAAAAATAAATTTGCCAAGTATCATCTAAAAATCAAAATATAAATTTTGGATTCAAAATATAAAAAAAGCTGGTTTAAATTATGATTATGTGTTAATCTTTAAAGCAATTCTTATTCATGAACAAAAAAATTTTTTTGAATAAATAAACAAACCCTAAATTCCATATAAATTTACTTATATACAAATGATTAAAAATGATAACTATAGATAATGAAAAAAGAAGAACTTAGGGATTTTTACCTTTACAAAGATTCTAAGATTCTAACATAAAAGCTATTTAAGTATTTAATTCTTAATTAAAAAAAAAATGAAATAAGATTAATCAAAC